AAAAAAAATTATTTTGAAAAAGTGGTATTTTTGTAAAAATTTCAAAAGTGCGGTATTTTTGTAAAATGACACTTGAAAAGTGGCATTTTTTGAAATTTCTCAAAATTAAATTTAATTGTTTTATTAATTTGTGTAAAAACCTCTAGAATGATAACTAAATTAAAACGGAAGGAGTATACTACAAATTAAAGACCATTGACTTATTAGGTATATCGAGATCCCAACTAATTCAAATTAAAGAATAAAGACCATGGACTAATTACAAATTTTTCATTAATAAAATTAAAGTAAACAAAATTATATAGTAGATCAAGAAAAAGAGATTATAAAGATAGGCAGATTGGAAGAGTAGTTTGGTATTCTTCTTCCTTAAAAACCATAAATTTCTTCTTCCGTAAAATTGCAATAAAATGGATGTACCACCAAGATGTCGTCTCTCCGATCCTGTTCATCCTCACACTCTTTCCCGTCGAGACAATCCTCCTCCATCGGATTGCTTTAAGTGCGGATCATATGGCTACACATTCAAAGATGGTGACTGGCATTACTATTGTGATATCTGCGAGCTTGTGTTCCACAACTACTGTCACACCACCTTGCGAAGTATAAGACACCCTTATCACCTCCCCCACTTTCTCAACTTAACATTTCGATTTACCGAAACCAAAACCCAATCAATTATCAGTCAAGCTGATTATCAGGAAGTCTCCGAGAAGAGGATCTTGTATCTAAGTTCTGTTTTTAAATCCGACAACTGTGATTGGTGTGGAACAGAGCTCAATAAATCTTTTTTCCGCTGTCTTGTTTGTGGTTTCAGTTTACATGTTTCTTGTGCCGAGAAAGATCCTCTTTTTACCATTACAAACCCAAAGAGCCATCAACATCCCCTCAACTTATTTCCTAGACCACTCTCAGTACCTTGCAGTGCTTGTGGTTTGGGCGACAAGACAGAAGAGCCGTGTTATGTTTGTCTGCCATGCAACTATGTTGTCCATGAAAGCTGTATCGATTTACCACGCGTCATAAAGCTAACACGGCATCAACACCGTCTCTCTCACACTCCCTGCCTGCCACCACCTGCAAAGCGGTCATGTGGAGTTTGTCAGAGAAACGTCGACGTCAAGCTTGGGATGTATTCTTGCAACAAAGGTTGTTCCTACGCGGTTCACTCAAAATGTGCAACGCATGAGCATATATGGGATGGAATAGATCTTGAAAGAGTACCTGAAGAGCCTCTTGAAGATATTGAGCCATTCGAAGAAGTAGGTTACAATTTAATCAAGCATTTCAGTCATGAACATCATCTTAAATTCGATGAGGATGAGCTTGATCATGACGCAAACAAAGAATGTCAAGCATGCTGCAGGTCTATTGATTCTGGTGGTTTCTACGGCTGCACGATCTTACATTGCGATTTCTTTCTACATGAACCATGTGCTAACTTTCCTAAAAAGAAAGAGCATCCAGTTCATAAACACCCTCTTATCCTACTACCTGTAGTACGCGACAATTATTACCATTGTGTTGCTTGTGAAAGGGTGTGCACTGGCTTCACCTACACATGCTTGAACAACACTTGCAATGAAAACGGAGTTGACTTTCAAATGGATGTTAGATGCGCTTCGGTTTGTGAACCGTTTGAACATAAAGTTCATTCACATCCCCTATTTCTCTTTTCTGGAAGAGATAGTTCATCTTTGTGTGGGATTTGCGGTATTGATGAAGGTAACGAGATTTTCACTTTAAAGTGTAATGATTGCGAATTCACTATGTGCTTTAGGTGTGCTACTATACCTGTTGTGATACGCTACAAGCACGACGAGCATCTCCTCACTCTTAGTGGTGGTGAAGATTCTGCTGATCCATATTGGTGCGAGAAATGTGAGAGACAAATCGATCCGAAGAAATGGTTCTACACTTGCGATGAATGTTGCACCAGTCTCCACATTGATTGTGTATTTGTGGATTCAAGCTATATCAAGATTGGTTTAGTTGGCTTGGACGCAGAAGATGGTGAGACAACATTTGCTTCCAATAATGGTAATTCTCGACCAGTTTGCGATCAATGTGGTGTCCGTTGCCTCTATCCCGGATTTTTCAAAACAGAAGATATTTGTATTTGCTCTGTCAAATGTTTTTTTGGGTAATAAGCTTTAGAATATCTCCAATGGTCATATACTCCGAGTATCTTACTAATATAATATGAATATTTTTAATAAAATTTTATTTGACAAATTCACCTTAGTTCTTCACCTCCATTGGTAAGATATCATCATTGAATCTCTAGCCACTATAATAATAATATAAATAATATTCTTAAAAATATTTCATTACCTTTTTAAAAAGGATATATCATATTACATTTTAGATGTATTTACAATAATAAGTTGTATTTTATTAATATATTAACTAAAATAATACTAAATTCATATTATTGTTTGTATTAATTTTAAGGGGCAATTACAAAAATGCCACTTTTTGTATGCATATTTGCAAGAATGCCACTTAGGAGTATCCATTTACAAAAATGCCACTAATTATAGATTTATAAAGCCTATATCTTAAAATTCTAAACCCTAAAAAATGTTTTGACACCTAAAACTCCCTAAATACTCAAAACTAAACCCTAATAGAACATAATTAACCCAAACATAAATAATATAAAGAAAAAATAATTTTGAAAAAGTGACATTTTTGTAAAGATTTCAAAAGTGTGGCATTTCTGTAAAGTGGCACTTGAAAAGTGGCATTTTTTGAAATTTCTCTAATTTTAATTAATATTTATATATAATTTTAAGACATGCATGATGAAACTTGATAGATAGATGATTTTATTTTATGATTTACTAAAACAAAAAAAAAATATATAACATATAACCTATTTAATTAGTATTCTAAAATATTGTATAATATTTGATTTGTTACTAAAAGGTCTGAACAAATGACAAAGTGACTTGTGTCCAACATATGGATGTCTCATGCGATTCTCCCCTCTCTCTTATTTTTCTTTTCTTAAATAGGAAAACCTCCTTAAGAAATCCACTTACAACCTCCCACTAAAGATGTTTTTATTTTCTTGGAATAATTATAAAAATATAATTTTTAGTGTATCTATTTTTAAAATAACCACTATAGATTGTCCATTTATAAAAATATCACTAATTTAAACCCTAAATTTTAAAAGTTTTAAACCTTAAAAATGGTTTTGACCCCAAACAAACCATAAACTCTCAATATTCAACTCTAATACAATATAGTTAACCCAAACATAAATAATATATTGAGTAAATGATTTTGAAAAAATGACATTTTTAATAAGTGACACTTCAAAAATGTTATTTCTCAAAATAAAGGTTTATGGCTTGTTTGAGATCAACTAGTGAATAAAGTTAATGAAGGGACGTTGAGATCCCAACTAATACAAATGAAAGACCATTGACTAATGTAGAGACATCGAGATCCCAACTAATTCAAGTTAAAGACAACTAGATGACTCATCGCGTTCTGCGCTGACTAATACTTTTTTATAATCAAATAAACTACAAAAATATTATTTCACAATTAATAATTTGCTAATGATGTTGAATTTATAATTTTGGTTTACTTTCGATCTTCATGACTTTTGTTCAGTCTTTCAAAGTTTTTTTTTTTTTTGGAATAATGGTATCTAGAATAAACATAGAGCAAGACG